TGTAATTGTGGTTTCTCTGCTTCCAGGAGAAGTTTTTCCAATGACAGCCTGACCCAATCCCCCCTCACCACCATCTACCCAACTTATTAGAAAACTGTCTTCTGCAATTAAACGAGCCGATGTGATTGGTCCATATACTTAAACTCCGATTAAGTATTTTTCAGTGTTACTTTACCAGAATTTTCCAAATTCTCTCTGCTGTCAGAGCCAAGACAACACACCTGCTTCAGGTTCTAAAGTTAATTGACTTTATGCAAGTAGCAAAATAGTAACAAGGCAGCTGGCCACTTCAAACACAGATTCAATATGTTCTCTTCACAGTAACCCAACAGATTGGAAGGACAGTTTTGTGCTTCTGTGTGCAATTGTATTACAGCAAATGTGATCATAAGGAAGTAAACATGAAAGCCAACATCAGAGGTACCAGTTGACCAAAAATGTTTAATCCATTGCAGTGAGTGATTAAAGTAAATACAATCTGTTTCATTCAAGTCCAAATCAAAATAGTTTATATTTATTACAAATGCAGTCGGATTCTTTTCTGAAGATCCAGTTTATACAATCAAAAATCCTTGTATTTGGGGTTAGATAGTGTGATTAGGTTATAATCGGTGGGGAATAAAGAATATGATGCGCACTGTGTATGACTAAAAACTAATTAGACCTTTTCAAATACGTGTTTGTATTTTGTGACCTGAGCAATATTTGAATTGCCCAGTAGTTATTGTCAATAAATAATGTGCCTGTGAAGTTCCATCTAATAACCGTCTGGCCACTGCTAAAATAATGCAACACCTTTCTTAATACAGGTGCAATGTTACATTATTCTTATTTTTTTATACGTTCAGGGAGACTTGGGTGAAACAATACAATGAACAACACTTTATGACATGAGGGGTGGGTTCCTTTAGTTTCCATGTCATGATTTTCTGATCTTTGTTATTTTAAGGACTCCAATTTTTTCTGAAATTGCAAATCAGTATTTCTTGAAAGGGAGGAAGAATAATAGTAGTAGCCTACATTTGGCCTACACTTTTTTTTTTGTACTTTTCAAGCTGAACTTTTTTAAAACATTGGTGTACCTTGAGCATAAATGCCTAATGCTGTGTCAGCATAACTTTGTTTGGTGAAATAAATTTAACTCAATATTATTATCCCCTAATACGAAGGGTTTTATGTGTTTGTCATGTCATTTTTGGGTGCTTTACTTTGAATTAAGAAGGATGCAGTTCTTGCACCGAAACCCTCTGCTGCTTCTAAATTGCTTCCTTAATAACATGTCAAGTTCATTGCAGTAGAAAAAAGGAACAATACCAAGGTGAGAGATATTGAAAATGTTTGAAAACACTATGCAAAAAGTTTGTTTTGACTGTTAACAGCTCTGAAATTTGTGTCCGAGTCCAAAGGTAGCTTATGCACTAATTATAAGAACTAATTTAATTTTGAAAGGTATATGAACTGCATTTTTAACATCCAGTCAAAAAATCTGAACCAATTTGGTCAAACCTGAACAAAGTTATTAGAATCTTTAAAACACAGTATTAGATTTATGAAGAATTTAATTGATTTATGAATACACAAAGTATTTCCAAGTGGTTTTTCACAGGTTTGAAAACTACATTAATTTACAGCAGAAAAACCACATTATATTGACTTATCAACACGTAGTAAATTACTGATTGATTTGATTGTTTTGTGAAATATTTACTTCACTAAAATATTGATTCTTGGTTTTCCCAAAACATTTTGTTCTAAATTTATCATAAAGCTCTTTCTTCTGAATGTAAAGCTTATATTTTGTTCAGGATTTTACCTCAACTTTTAAAGTATACCGCAAAGAATTTGTGTACCCAGAATGATCAAGAAAACTTTAGTTTATTTTCATTATAAGACAAAATTGAATTTGGCATTTGAATTATACACATACATTTACCCTGGCTGCCTTCAGAATAAAAACAAAAATGTCGTTTCTTCATTTTACACGTCCGGAAAATCTGCAATCATATTACAAAATAATGAAGCTTTAACTCATTATCTTTAAAAAAAAAAAAAAAAAAAAAAAAAAAAAAAAAAAAAAAGCAAAACAAGACTTGTGAGGTTAGGTCAAATATTGGAGGAGTTATATTAAACAATAATAATAAGAGAAAAAAAGCAAAGGCATGCATACTCAAAAAGGAAAATGACAGATAACTTATGAAAGTTTCAGTAAAGGGAAACGCATTAAACAAAGCCCAGACTACATGGCTTCTTCTTTCACTCCCCATCTCATTAATAGTTTATTAAACATTCATCACAAGCATGCTTTTGATTGGCATTTGGTTTGAAGCTTTTGATCAGTGCTGCTTATTTGTCTCCGTGCACCAGGACTCATTTGTTGCAGTAATGACTTAGCGGGCTCTTCAGATGATGGGAATAATGGTCGTCATTGTCCAAACTTCAAAAAAAAAGGAGTCTCTCTGCAAAAATAACCACTTCACATCTTTCTTTTCTTTTCTCTCTTTATGTTGCTTTCATTTCTTTTGTTAGCCCGTGTTCTCATCTTTCCAGGATACTTTCCATTTGTGGCATCCACCAAGCTGTTACATCTCTCCCAGCTTCTCAATTGTCACAATTTCTCTTAGTGCTTTCCCTACAGTGCTTACTGCTTCTTCCCTCTGATCTCTCAACTCACTTTTCATTCCTCTTATTTATGCTAGGCTGATGATGCTCTGTATGAGAACGGAGATTAGCAATGTGTTTGTTTGTGTCTGTGACACCTGGACTCATTTCTCACACTAATGACCTGGCGCCTTGTTAATGAATGACGGAAGTAATGCAGCTGTCACTTCCCAAAGCCATACTTTTTGATTTAGTCACTCACCTCCTTAGTCTCCATCCATATTCTCTCATCAGCGAATGTTGTCTGCAATTGTGATTTTTTTTTTTAAATTTTTTGCATATTTTGTAGAGCTTCCTTTATTCTTAATATATATAAAAAAAACAGCTTCTGGCACAGAAACTTTCTCGTGTGATTTTGCATAATCAGCGACTGTTAGAATGGGTCATGACAAAACCCTTAGTTTCTCCTCATGTAGTCTGCTGTGGATTTTAAAGTATGTTTACAATCATCCCCCTGTTATCTAAGCAATCTTTTCCCATCTGTTTTTATTGATACTTTTGAAGTATTTGCAGTGAGGTTTGGCAAGCAGTTCACAGAACACAGAACACAATCCTCCCTCCATCAATGAAATGTTCCATGTGTCACAGGGCACCATTTGCCTGAGGCAAAATCAATCCACGCCTCTTCATGTAACAATGGAAATATGTTTTTTTTGTTGTTTTTTTTTAATATTATTCTACATTCATGCAAAACCTCTGACATGGAATTTGGTGATGAGGACTGGAAAGAGGTATTGCTCTGGTGACTTTTTCAATAAAAGGTCATATTTTAAATGTGTGGCTGCAAAATAAAAAAAAAGAGCACTGCTACTCTAGAGCTGGCTAAACTGCACCCAAATGAAAACCCACAACCTTCCCACTCTACTCTTTAGGAAATAAGTGTATTGGCCCTCCAGACCTTAATTTGACCTCTAATATCCTGTCAGCAACTACTCCTGAATAGGCTTAGTAATGGAGGAAGCAGTTAACAGAGGCTGAGAACAGCTTGTTTTTATTCTTCAGCTGTAGTGGATGCTTTTGAGAGCAACCATTATGTAAATGTTCAGAGTGCCAGGCCTCCATTGTTGTTCATAGTTAGTACAAGTTTTGGAGCAAAATGCATCTTCCAGCCTCGGCTAACAGTAATTGTGAACAGTCTCTGCAAAAAAGGAAAAAAAAAAAAAATAATAATAAAGATAGTTGTTTTTGTTGCATCTGCAATTCAGTTTGCTGGAATTGGAGAACCAACCTTCCAGAGATTAATCCTGGGGTGCCCAAATGCTGTCCTCAAGAGCTACAACTTTTCTACTTTTAGATTCATCCCTGCTCCAATAATAATCACCTTACATTGTCAATCAGTCGTCATGGAAACATGCAACTTATTAAAGCAAACATCTTCAGTAAATAGGGGGACAGTATCAAACAAATTTTTCATACTCTAGCACACCAAGAAAAACAATATATTTACATCCAACAATATTTATTCTTTGAATCAAAAGCAGAATAAAATGAGGCAGAATTTACATAAACTTGTGCTGCCAGTGAGGTATACAGCATGTGAGGTATGCATGCCAAAGATGTGGTTTGCATGGATTTGCTTGTTTATCAGCCATAGGCTATTGGAATTTTTGAAAGTTCCATGGAACTATGTAGATTTTATTAAAGACGATGGTAACACTTTATATGACGGGGTGTGCATATGACTGACATGACATTGTCATAAACATAAAATTACACCTGTCATGAACATGAAGGAGTCTTTATGAATGTTGTCATGAAATGACATTCGGTAAATAATGACACTTTTAATGCAAAGTTGCTTTAAAAGTTGCATTACAGTCCATTAAAAGTGCCAACCTTGCATTAAAATGTCATTATTACAAAGTTGGAACTTTTAAAGGACTTTCAAGGCAACTTTTGAAGCAACTTTGCATTAAAAGTGTCATTATTTACCGAATGACATTTCATGACAACATTCATAAAGACTTCTTCATGTTCATGACAGGTGTAATTTTATGTTTATGACAGTGTCATGTCAGTCTTCTGCACACTGCTTCAAATAAAGTGTTAGCAAGACAATTATACCAACATTAAAACAAAGCAGTGAAGCTAAATGATCCTTTAAGTAAAATAAAAAAATATATATTGTTGAATTTCTTTTTCTGATATATCCAGATCTAACAATGAGATTTCATACAACTTTAGCATGAGTTTTGAAAGGAATAAGAATAAAATGCTATGTATTGAAAAAATACACTGAAATCAGGTGATATAAAGTATAACATTTCAAAAGTAGACCAAACAGGGGCCATTGCAAAACATCAGATCCCAAATTATCAGGAAGAATACAAAATTAGCCAGAATTGCACAACATCCTCTAAATTCCCTTTATTATCACTGAAAAGATCAACTCATTGTGGGAGGATTAGACTTCTACAAAGAGAATATAGTCTGAAGTGGTTTCAATCTGCATGACGCCCACCTAAAACAACACAAAAATAAACTGATGAAACATCAAACATAGGCTAATTAAAAAACTCAAAAGGTGCTTTCATCCGCATATTAATTTTATGGCAAAAACGATCGAAAAAAAAATCCAGTCTATAGAAATCTAGTAGAAAGGAAGAAAAACAAACAGTCTATTTAAAAGTCAGCATCCTCAGAAGCAATTATTATGCAAAGTCTTTTGCTTTATGTGTGTTAAGCATTTACGATTTCTACTAAGGTACAAACATGACACTCTGCTGTTCAGCTGGCCTGAAAACTGAACAAACAAATCGGTAAGGGGAGAGGCAGAGCACAAATACACATAATCCAGTGCAAATATGATGGAGGCTTTTGATTCAACATTATGAGCCATATGAGCCTTTTGCTTTCGCTGCCCAACAGCTGCTCAAGGCCCTCCTCATTTAATCATTGGTCAGGTCAAGTCCTATAATAATGAGCTCTCTTAGGTTTGGACATCATTTACACATAATTATTGGTAGCATATTGGACCATGTTGGTTGTTAGTAATATTATTGAGCTACTAAAACACATTATTCTAGAGAAAATGCACTGCTACTACTAACCTTCATTTACTAACAGCTGGAAATCTTTAGCTGTTTAAAATCTAGACTAAAAGCCCACTTGCGTAGAGATGCTTTTGGACCATGATAAGTAAAACATGAATAATAATTTCAATATGCAACAACTACACTTGAAAATGTAATGTTTCAATTGTTGACTGTGTTCTATGACTTTGTGTGTGTTTTTATGATGTGGAACACTTTGAAGTGCCTTGTTGCCAAAATGTGCTATTCAAATAAACTTGACTGACTGATCAGCTGCCATTTCTGGACGTGCCATGTCATGCTCTCAGATTAACATCTGTTTCGTTAAAGAAGCCTTCAAATCGTGATGCTGTTTTAGGAAGCTGGTTTATTAAACATGTTACTTAAAATTGCTTTTTGAAATAAGAAACCCTAAATCTACCCCAAGTAGGTGACAACAGACTGCAACACAACTTAACTATGCTTGGCCTGTTTTAACAGGCTATTATAAAGGTGAGGAGGTAACATTTTAAAAAAAATAGATATTTTACAAATCAACACTAAGTTTTGTTCAACATACAGTAGTTTTGGGTTTTAATAGATGTTGAAAAAAAAATCACAAAAAAAATAAATTCTTTATTCAGTTTTGCCTTAATCAAAACTATTGCTTTTGAACCGTTTCTGATTTCAAGCTGATTTTATAACATCTCAGACACAATTGTATATATTAAAAGATGGGGGCTGGGGGGGAGGGAGCTCTAAACTGTATCTCATTACAAAATATTTTTCAGGTTTCTCTTACTTTTAAAAGGTCATCCTCGTCTTTTCCAATACATCTACTGCTTTTCTCTATAACAAAATGTGGATACCAAACAACAATAACAAGAAAACTGTCTTGGGCATAGGTATTAATCATAGAAAGTCATGTTTATGTCCCGGCTACTCTAGTGTTCATGTTTCATTGGAGTTTAATTCCATCTCATTTCATAATTGCCTAATCCATAGTGTAACCTATTTTCTGTCAGTTCTTTTCCAGAGACAGGTGTCGTCCTTTAGCATATAGAAGACGCATTTCTAACAGCAACTATTCATTCAAAGTTCTGTCCTTTGTGATAACACCCAAATAGAAAAAGATTGATGCTGACTTGAATTCCTTTAGCAACAAGTTATGTTTTGACACACTCAACCGTTTTTTTCTATTCAAACTGCAGTAATTCGTTGAAGTGTATTAGTAGAATCCAATGACAGCACATCTAGTTAAAACAAAGAGCACTTGAGTTTGCAAGTGCTTAAGTCACCATTGAACTGAATTGTAAGTTCATTTTTGGAACATTTCTTGCACACTACTACATCTAAGCCACTGTATCAGTCACTAAAATAGAAATCACAATTTTTTTTTAGATTAGATTTTACATGATGATGATTAAATTGTTCATGAGCACTCTTAGATTCAGGAGCACATTTGTCTTTACAAACACACTGGTCAGAATTTAACTCTTGGAGCTTAAAAGCCAAACTTTGAAATCTAATGAGTGGACATTTTCTCTAACGTCTTTTTTTTACAGGAGACACTGGCGAGGTCAGCAGCCACTCAGTTCTCGCCCAACTGAAAGATTACTTGCACATATAATTGTTGATATTTCATCTCTTCTGTTGTTGCTGTGCAAATTATGCTGCTTTTGTATTCCTTGCATGGAAGATCTTGAAGTGCACTTGAAGAGAGATAGTTGTCAGTAGGCGGATAAACACCGTCAGTGAGATCATGACACCCATCTCAGGGTTATCACACTTTGTGCATTCACATGGTGTGGTGTTTGTGGAGTACATCATCACCTATGTCCTTCTGTCAGCTTGTTTTGCCTGTTTGAACTAAGATTAAAGACAGGACTTTTCTTTTGCCATTTATGGTGATATTAAGCTGCACTGAAATGAAATTGTACAAGGAAGCTCTGGGGAGAGCAGAGGAGAGGAGCTGAGTCTTTGCTGTCACACATGAGCCCGGAGGCCTGTGTTGTGGTAACTAAGGCTGCTCTTCCTAAGACACATGATGCACAACCGCACAAAGTCAACAAGCCATGTTGGCAACAGCATAGCGCAAATCCCTCTAGTCACAATTAATGTAACCGCAAACTAGTCAACATGCACAACAACACAGTTTCACAAAGGCAGGAACCTAGCTTTTTTTTTTTTTTTTTTTGCAGCTCCACCATGCAACATTTCTAGAGCTTTCAAGACCTTAGCAAAGATTTCCCTCTTTGTCAGCAAATACACATTCCAGTCAACAGTGCATCCAACAAAGAAATAAAGTACAAAGACTTACCTTTTATAGCACCATGGTAAAGAGGGGTTGGGTAAGACATGAAAAAAGGAAAAAAATAAATTACATAGGTTAAAAACTGATGTGCTGTGCGGTTTTCAGATCACAACCAAATGCAAACAAAAATATACAATGAAGTTACTGTACACACACACACACACACACACACACACACACACACACACACACACACATTAAAAGGTTGCCCAATATAATAAGCATTTAAAGTAAAAATTGAGCAAAGAGATATGCCTGGTGCAGGTGAAGCCTTTAGGAAAATGTCTCAAACCACAAATAAACCAATTTCCGTTTTTCAATAATATGTTATGCACACAAAGCACAAAAAGGAGCAAAATGCATTGAAGGTTTCTTGATAGACATGACTGTACTTTGTAATAAATGAAGAATTACAGATACTCATGCATGTAATGAATAATGCAAACACTCCTATTTTTAATCTGGTTGAAAAATAAATTCAACAAGAGCATCATGTTCTTAGTTGATAAACCAAAAAATTATGGGAGTTTTTGGTATTGATGCATTTATGGCTTAAGGGAGAAAAAAAAAAGAAGGATTTTCAGTGCCTTCATAGCTGATCAAGGACAAATTAGCAGTTTCCAGTAAGGTCTTTCTCCAGTTTATTGGTGCATCACTAAACTATATATTAGGACATGAGTTTTTTATAAACAGGAGCGAGCATTTTGTCATTCTTCAGCATGTTGAGCATCTCTGCGGTACAATGGGACAATGCAACTCCAACAAAAAAGTTAAAATAAACCTTCAATCATCCAGTCAACCAGTCACTTATTATGCCAGACAGAAGAAGAAAGTATTCAACATAGGAAATCCTACAAAAGCATTGAGCTGCCACTCCAGGAAAAGAAAAAGAGAAATACATCATTTTAGAACATAAAAACTTTTTTGCTCCAACAATCACTTGTTCATGTTTGTACAACATATCGGCATGTTAACACAATCTACAGTTCATGTTTGGACAACATAATATAATGTTGCTTCAATATACATGTTTATCATGCTGTAACATTTTTTTTTTTTTATTACTCATATTGTACCAATAGTGACAATTTGTTGACCGAATGTGTAAATGATATTGTTAGCACAAAATGTTTCATTATTCAAACATGAAAAATGCTATAAAGTTTTTACATTACACCATTAAATAGATGTATTTTTATGGTGCGCAGTTAAGGAATGACAGGAAATGTTCCTCCCACACACACACACACACACCACTAACACCATGCATACACTGCTGAAGATACAGTCCTACACACACACACTCCAGAGTAAATGGTTTCTGTCCTAAACGCCGCCCCACATATTTTTCTTTGGCAGAGGTGGCAGATCCATGCATCCATAGAATTCATCTTATTTACTATGTGTTACAGTCACAACAAACTGGTGTCCTTAAAGAACAACCTCACATGGAGGCAATGCAGGTCTTGTTCGGTCACAAAAAGAACCAACTAAAAACATGAGAACAGACAGAATTTACTAAGGCGGATGTTGTCCTAACACGAACACACACACAAATACACTTGCACATTCAAATCTGTCACATTCAATGGCATAAAGTACTTCCAGATGAAGTGATTCACAGAAACTCTCACCCACTCAGTCAGAAAAAAAGTCAGTGTTTGTGTTGACTTTTTCCACCTAAATGTCAGAGCTCTCACAATGACAGGCGGCAGTATTAGAGAGTTACACCACACCACAACTAAAGGGTCGTAAACTTTCTCATTTGAGGCCGTGTGCGGGTGTGCAGAAGCGTATAAGAAAGCCAAGTAATTTACAGTGTTTAAGTGCATTAATGTACTTTAGGAATGTTAACGATACCACTAAAAGTATACTTTCTGGTAGCTTGTAAAAACACATCTCTTACATCCTAAACAAAATACTTTTAACCATACTAGCTGCCTGCTTCTTAAATTGCTCTATTCCTAATACTACATGATAAATAGATATGTCACACATGAGCAAGCAGAGAATATTTTGTTGCCGATATTATTCGGTCCACTCAATAAAATTCTCTATGCAGCCTGTGACGGATATAAGCTTGTTTGTTTCTGCCAATCTCTCCAATAGCAGAGGCCTTATATTAATGTTTCAACC